ACGAGGCAGTAGGCATGGGGGTGGGGTGGGGGTGGTGAGGCTTCAGGAGACTGCAGCCTGTACTGCTAGAGCGGTCATCACACGTACTCACGCACGCATACACTCACAAACGTCCACGCATCGTGTGCGTGTGTGTCAATAGAAATAATAGACCGGCCCATGCCCACAGGGTTTAGGACGCTTTCTAATTCAATATATCGCTATTCTGACGGCACGTTCTGTGTGTACTCACCGATTTTCACCTATTTGTGCTTGCGGGGGTTGAGCTTTGTCTCTTTGGTCCCGCCTCTTAACTGTCAAGCAACTGGTGTACAGGTTCCTGAGCCTACTGGGCTTTTATCATATCTACATTTGAAACTGTGTTTGGGGTCAGCCTCCACCACATCGCTTCCTAGTGCATTCCATTTACTAACTACTGACACTGACAAAAATCTTTCTAACGTCTCTGTGGCTCATTTGGGTACCAAGTTTCCACCTGTGTCCCCTTGTTCGTGTTCCACCCGTGCTGAAGAGTTTGTCATTGTCCACCCTGTCAAATCCCCTGAGAATTTTGTAGGTGGTTATCATGTCTCCCCTTACACTGATTGTCATGTCATGTCTCCAATTACGCTGATTGTGACTAGGAGTACCCGGCGGCACCCGGGTCTCTACCCGGGACCCGGGAAATGAGTGCCTAATGATTCTCATTCCTTCCCACCTCTCGTCCCATTCTCTTCCTTTCCCTATTCCGTCCCTCTACCCCTGACTCTCAGAACTCTATGGGCAACACAACCAATATATCAGACTTCTCAAAAACCGCATGTGTGGGGGGGGGGGAGAGGGGGGTCTCTATATATACCGATATTTCTTGAGGTATTTAAATCGGTCCGACCCCACCTGCCCTATGACATTCCCTTACCCACCATGTTTCATCTTGGAAGGTTGGGTGGGGTTAGGCCCCCAAGCGTCTGACCTACAATCTCAGACCAAGAGACATACTATTTCATAGAGTAATGTAGATTAAAGTTATTTACCTGTGAAAAGTAAGAGAAGAAGTTTAAACACTGATGTGTGTGCACACACAAGGTGATTGTCAGTGTTTACCTGTGACCAGCTGATTGTTAGTGTTTACCTGTGACCAGCTGATTGTTAGTGTTTACCTGTGACCAGCTGATTGTTAGTGTTTACCTGTGACCAGCTGATTGTTAGTGTTTACCCGTGACCAGCTGATTGTCAGTGTGTTACCCGTGACCAGCTGATTGTTAGTGTTTACCTGTGACCAGCTGATTGTTAGTGTTTACCTGTGACCAGCTGATTGTCAGTGTGTTACCCGTGACCAGCTGATTGTTAGTGTTTACCAGTGACCAGCTGATTGTTAGTGTTTACCTGTGACCAGCTGATTGTCAGTGTTTACCTGTGACCAGCTGATTGTTAGTGTTTACCCGTGACCAGCTGATTGTTAGTGTTTACCCGTGACCAGCTGATTGTTAGTGTGTTACCCGTGACCAGCTGATTGTTAGTGTTTACCAGTGACCAGCTGATTGTCAGTGTTTACCAGTGACCAGCTGATTGTCAGTGTTTACCTGTGACCAGCTGATTGTTAGTGTTTACCTGTGACCAGCTGATTGTTAGTGTTTACCTGTGACCAGCTGATTGTTAGTGTTTACCTGTGACCAGCTGATTGTTAGTGTGTTACCTGTGACCAGCTGATTGTTAGTGTTTACCTGTGACCAGCTGATTGTTAGTGTTTACCCGTGACCAGCTGATTGTTAGTGTTTACCTGTGACCAGCTGATTGTTAGTGTTTACCTGTGACCAGCTGATTGTTAGTGTTTACCCGTGACCAGCTGATTGTTAGTGTTTACCCGTGACCAGCTGATTGTTAGTGTTTACCCGTGACCAGCTGATTGTTAGTGTGTTACCTGTGACCAGCTGATTGTTAGTGTGTTACCTGTGACCAGCTGATTGTTAGTGTTTACCCGTGACCAGCTGATTGTCAGTGTGTTCATCGTGAAGTCACGCTCTCTAGTGCCTATATGCTCAAAGGTCAGGACGTGCTCATCACCTTCACACAGTAGTGACCACACGCCTCCCCTGCCCCCTCCTCCTCCCCCCACCTCATCTTTCCCACCTGCCTCCCCCCCCCCCCCCTCCCATCCCATCTATCCCACAACCGCACGTCTTTCCCACCCCGCCCTGGCTGGGAACCGCTCAGCGCCCGCACAGGAAGGCTGTGTATGCACCGTTTGAAAAAGGAGAGAGAGAGAGAGAAGAGGAGAGAGAGAGAGAGAGAGAGAGAGAGAGAGAGAGAGAGAGAGAGAGAGAGAGAGAGAGAGAGAGAGAGAGAGAGAGAGAGAGAGAGAGAGAGAGAGAGAGAGAGAGAGAGAGAGAGAGAGAGAGAGAGAGAGAGAGAGAGAGAGAGAGAGAGAGAGAGAGAGAGAGAGAGAGAGAGAGAGAGAGAGAGAGAGAGAGAGAGAGAGAGAGAGAGAGAGAGACAGAGAGAGAGAGGAGAGAGAGAGAGAGAGAGAGAGGAGAGAGAGAGAGAGAGAGAGAGAGAGAGAGAGAGAGAGAGAGAGAGAGAGAGAGAGAGAGAGAGAGAGAGAGAGAGACAGAGAGAGAGAGAGAGAGAGAGAGAGAGAGAGAGAGAGAGAGAGAGAGAGAGAGAGAGAGAGAGAGAGAGGCAGAGAGAGAGAGACGGAGACAGAGGCAGCCACCATCTTGCTCTGTGAGCCAACTGGATCAGCTGGTCGCTTCGCCCCACCTGTTCAACACCACCACCACCTGCACACACAAGCTCCCCGTTGGAGGTGTCGAGCGTGCGTGCGTGCGTGTGCGTGCGAGCGAATGTGCGTGTGCAAGTGTGTGCGTGCGTGTGCGTGAGCCCTCCCTAGGGGTGGGAAAAGGGCCAAAGATCGCGCACCCGGTAACACCAGACGAGGTGCCACGTTCGCATTAATTTATCTAATTTCTTCATCTACGAGCGCCACACGTTTAATGCCGTGTAAACAATACGACTTCTCTTCCTATCTACGTAAACAACATGAGGGGGAAACACTATAATTAAATAATTATACAACTGCGACGTAAAACAAAAGCGAAATGTGTATATATAAAAATATAGCTCACAGGTGACACTCGCCCCCTCCTCCCCTCCCCTCCCCTACCTCCCCCGGGACCGCGTTTTCCATTGACAATTTCGGTTCTTGCTCAGTGTATTTAAAATTGATTCGTTCCAAAGTGACCGCGGTGGCCGTTGCCAAACAGCGGTGGGAACTTTTTGCTGAACGAAGGATTATGTAGTTTGAGCGATACATTAGGAGGAGGAGGGGGAAGCGGCAGATAAGAGACAAGGTTTGTGTGTATGTGTGTGGGTACTCACCTAGTTGTGCTTGCGGTGGGGTTGAGCTCTGGCTCTTTGGTCTCGCCTCTCGACGGTCAATCAACAGGTTTCTGAGCCTACTGGGCTCTTATCATATCTACATTTGAAGCTGTGCATGGAGTCAGCCTCCACCACATCACTGCCTAATGCATTCCACCTGTTAACTACTCTGACACTGACAAAGTTCTTTCTAACGTCCCCTAAGTGTGTGTGTGTGTGTGTTTAATTACCTAAGTGTACTTACAGGATGAGAGCTACGTTCGTGGTGTCCCGTCTTCCCAGTACTCTTTGTGGTATAACTGCTTTGAAACTACTAACGGGTTTGGCCTCCACCACCTCCTCACTTAGCTTGTTCCAACAGTCTCTACCACTCTGTTTCCTAAAGACAACTTTCTAATACTTTTTTTTCCACACCTTTGTTTTCTTATCTTGAATCTCTGTCCTCTTGTTCGTGAAGTTGCTGGTTTCAGGAATTCCTCTTTGTCAATTTGGTCTATTCCTGTTAGTATTTTTTAAATTATTAAGTGGTGATCATATCACTTTTCTTCTATCTTCTAATTTCGACATATTTAACGCCTCTAGTGTGTGTGTGTGTGTGTGTGCGCGCGCGCGCGCGCTCTGCTTACTTATCAATCAGTGTGTATAGAAGGGAGTCCTGACAAGAGAGAGAGAGAGAGAGAGGAGGGGGGAGGGGAGAGGAAGGGAGAGAGAGAGAGGGAGAGGGAGGGTTGAGAAGGTGGTTCCCAGGCTGGATGTGACATCAAAAAGAAGTCACGTCTCTACTCCTCTGCTCCCTCTCACTATCCTTCTCCCCATCTCTCTCTCTCTCTCTCTCTCTCTCTCTCTACAGTGTGAATCTTATAAATGAACATCGTCATATGATACAATATACCAACATGTACATGTTCACTCATTCAAGGATTTTCCTGTGCGGGTATTTAAAACAACGCTGTGGGTATTTACACAGTGATATGCGGGTATTTAAAGTGTGGGGTGGGGGGTATTGAACCGGTGTTGTGGGTATTTATTCAAAGCAGACTCCCCACACTACAATTTAAAATATTTACAATTTTCTGATTTTCTTTGACTATTCAGTTGTGTTTACAAGTGTACAGTCAGAGGAAGTCTTGATCTATTTACAAGGGCGGGTATGGAAGCCTTGATTTATTTACACAACTATTTAACTATTTACAACAACAAGTGAGGATGTTGACAACCTGAACAACTTAACTAACTACCTTCGTCATCAATCTATACAAACTAAACAAAAAATTACAATAATAACTACCTTGAAGGAAAACTAAAAATTTGTACTGCATGTATTATCCAGGATTTTCTATGTCCGTGGGACATGGAAAACCTAGCCTGTTGTCTTAGGTTATGACCTAGCTTGTTATATTAGGTTATAGCCTAGCTTGTTATATTAGGTTATAGCCTAGCTTGTTATATTAGGTTATAGCCTAGCTTGTTATATTAGGTTATAGCCTAGCTTGTTATATTAGGTTATAGCCTAGCTTGATATATTAGATTATAGCCTAGCTTGATATATTAGATTATAGCCTAGCTTGATATATTAGATTATAGCCTAAGTTGTTATATTTACAAGTATTGAGTTTGTTCTAACTGTGTTGTTGTGTTTGCAGGTCTGGACGCGCTGGCCTACGACCCCAACAAGTTCGCCATGGACTACCACAACATCGGCTTCCGGGAGTGCGCGGCGGAGGTGGCGCGTTATTTGGTCACCATCGAGGGCATGGACATCCAGGACCCACTGCGCCTGCGCCTCATGAGCCACCTTCAGTGCTACGCCGCGCAGCGGGACCTCGCCAACAAGCAGGCGGCCTCTTCGTGGGGTTGGGGCACCTCGCAACCCCCGCCCACCCCATCCTACCCCTCGGGGTCCTCCCTCAGTGGGTTCCAGGGGCACGTTCTGCCCCACCACGGCTCCTCCCACCACCCCTCGCCCCATCACACCCCCAGTGTAGGTCTGGATCAGAGTCACGGCATGTCGGCCTTCAGCGCCCCGTCTTCCAGCGGCGCCAACGAAGTAGGGACTTCGGGCTGTAACCTCGGGGGTGGTGGGCAGGTGCCCAGGCTGCCCACTACTGGGGCAGGAGCGCCCCATGTGCCCGCCGTCACCATGAGCACCGCTTCAACGCCCCACACCAACTACCACCTCAACCTCAACGCCCACACCTTCCCCGCCAACGGCCCCTCCAATATACCCAACCTCAGTCTCTCTGGCAACCCTGCGGCCTACAACCCCGGGGGATTGCAACCTGGGGGCGCGGGTGTCAAGCCCTACAGACCCTGGGGGGCTGAGATAGCTTATTGACGCTAACCACCACCACCACGCCCACCAACGCCGCCCACCGCCCCCAAACACGCCGCCCGCCACGCCTTTTTCATCGTCATTTCACCGTCGCCAGCCATTACCAAAGCACTGTATATAGGTCAGTCACCCGAGGGCGTTGTGGCGCGTGATGCAGCTGTTTCGTTCCTGTGGTGGGAATGCTGAGGGACCAGACATCGTCGCCACTCTCATCACCACTACCACCATCATCACCACCACCATCACTGTCATTATCACCATTACATCCCCATTCCCTACTACCACACTCACCACACCATCACTGCCGAGATGCTAAGTTCATTAGTTTTAGTGCAATACTGTCTAGTGTAAATACAATGTATATATATTTTGTAAATGAACAAGCTTCATATTTTTTATGAATTGTAAAATAAATAAAAACCAAATAAACTATTTTCAAGCCTGCTAGTGTTTGCCGTCATGCCAACCACCACAGCCTGGTTGCTCAGGCCTCAGAGGATAGTGATTATATCACCATCAATATTTGTGAGAAAACCATTAGGAAGGTTAGGGTACGGAAAGCGCCAAGCCATTACGACTATTATAGCGCTTGGAAGGGATCAGGATAAGGATTTGGGATGGGACGGGGGGGGGGGGGAAAGAAATGGTGCCCAACCACTTGGGACGGTCGGGGATTGAACGACGACCTGCATGAAGCGAATTAATTAGCTCTTGGACCCCGCCTTTCTAAACATATATTTCTCTCTTAATATATATCCCCCAGGATGCCGCAGCTGTCTGACTTCCAGGTACCTATATTTACTGCTAAGTGAACAGGGATATATGAGGGGAAAAGAAATTCTGCCCATTTGTTTGTCTCGGTCGGGAATCGAACCCGGGCCCTTAGGACTACGAGACCCTAGCACTGTTCACTCAGTTCTCAAACACGCGGCTAGTTCTCACAGGTGCTTATACAGGCTCCAGCTGATTAACTGGATTCCAGAAACGACCAGAAATTGGACTGTCGACTGCGCCTCACGTTCGCCACTGGTCACACAGCAGAAGCACTGCAGCACAGCAGACAACACTCCACTATCCTGTTAGTCTTCTGCTCGGAGTAGGTGCCCAACCCGTCCTCCCTAATAGAACGTCGCGTTTTGACGTACGCGGGAAAAATCGTCGCACTAAAAAATGTTAGCGGCTCGCAAAATTGACGTACTGTCCAGTTTTCTGTTTTGGGTCTTCTGGTAGGTTAGGATAAGGGCAGTTTAGTACGACAGTTTCTTGACGTTGGGAACCCTTAGGAGGACGGACTGAGGTGCTCTGCTACTTTTACTTCAATCAGTGATTGCTACTGTTCTAAACTACAGTTGGTCATGTGAACGAGGCTCACGCTATCCAATCCCAGGTCTCGCCGTTATAGGTCTCCTCCCATTGGTTAATTTAGATCACGTGATCTGTATAGCGTCATTGTCAGATATGACAGTCTGAGCTATATTTTGCCTCAATAAATGATTACATTAAAACAGATTAAACCTGATGACGTTATTATATTAGTTTGTACGTCCTAACCTAACCTAACCTCAATCAAATGTTCCTTGGCAGCCCTCGCTGCGGGTTGTGGGTGAGTGTGACTCAAAGATGGCCGAGTGGTGTGTGTAGGGTATTGTATCACCCGAGTAGTGAAGCTGGGCAGGCGGTGTAGTGAAGCCAACTAGGCAGTAAGAAAGGCCAACCTAATTTTTAGGCTTTACAATAAATTATTTTAACGTTTTTATCCAAGAGTTCATTTTCTAACCAGACCCTCACTGTGTGCAATTTGTTGGTGCATTATATTTAGAAATATTGAGCTTAACTGTGGTCAGCGCACTTTTTGAGAGCTACTGAACAACTGACGGTGTGTTCAGCGTTGAGGTGTGTTCAGCGCTGAGCCAAGGTGGAACCGCAATTATGAGACAGCTAAATTTATCCACCTTTTCAAGAATAAGTGGTGGTTTAGTACAAGTAATTGTTGATTTGTTTCACTATGAGTTGTAGTGGTTGGCATAAGTGTGTTGACGGGGCTGTGTTGATCTGGTCACCTCACGCCAGTAAACCACATGCCGATTGAAATGTCTAGCCATAATAGCCTAGACAATATATAAATTATATAAACTGTTGGGTCTCTTAAATGAGCCCTGGTAATAATCCCACACAAGAAATGTGTAGATTATAAAGTAAGATAAATCTACTACATTTAAAACTATTTCGAGGGCGTTGCCTCACTTAAGAGACTAAATAGTGATATAGGAGTCGACCAGCATACGCTACCATTTATTTAACTCGATATTTTGTGTGAAGATGGAACGGAGAGCAAAGTGTTGATAGGTTGACTGTATCCATCTCTGGTTAACACATCCTTACCTCACCAGACCAGTCGTTATATAGATGTAAGAGAATAGTTAAGAGGGTTTTTTGTGTATGTTTGTAACGGCCGCGCCAGACACATCCAATGGCTGGCGCGGCTGTCACTAAATATTAGTCTGGATTAACAAGTGAAGCCTCGCCACCTCACCCACGATGTGTTGTCGAGGGCGTCACGTGTGGCGGGAACAAGTGAGCATCTGCCAGCGGGCGTCGCCACTCAAGGGGGTTGCCACGAATTCATCTATCCTCATTAAGTACTCATCTAGTTGTGCTTGCGGGGATTGAGCTTTGGCTCTTTGGTCCCGCCTCTCGACTGTCAATGAACTGGTGTACAGGTTCCTGAGCCTACTGGGCTCTGTCATATCTACATTTGAAACTGTGTATGGAGTCAGCCTCCACCACATCACTGCCTAATGCATTCTATTTTTAACTCCTCTGTTCACAGTATTTACTGCTAATAGCTAACTACTTTTAATAATGGCTATTTGTATTGTTCCTTAAACTATCACACGAGCAAGAAGTTTACTATTGCTGTAAGTCAACTATAATTGACAAGACTGATAATGGCCAACACTATTGAACTTAATATACTCCATTGACCATTATTATCGTGATCCACATTATTGTGACAACACAAAATACATTATTCTGTTTTATCTTACCTATGTGAAAGTTAGTAAGTTTATGGGTGACTCATTACTCATTTAATCTCGATACAATCGACGAATCTAGTGTGTGTGTGTGTGTACTCACCTAATTGTGCTTGCGGGGGTTGAGCTCTGGCTCTTTGGTCCCGCCTCTCAACTGTACAGGTTGTGGGTCGTACAGGGCAGGTACAGGCTGTGGGGCGTACAGGGCAGGTACAGGCTGTGGGTCGTACAGGACAGGTACAGGCTGTGGGGCGTACAGGGCAGATACAGGCTGTGGGGCGTACAGGGCAGGTACAGGCTGTGGGTCGTACAGGGCAGGTACAGGCTGTGGGACGTACAGGCCAGGTACAGGCTGTGGGTCGTACAGGGCAGGTACAGGCTGTGGGTCGTACAGGGCAGGTACAGGCTGTGGGACGTACAGGCCAGGTACAGGCTGTGGGTCGTACAGGACAGGTACAGGCTGTGGGTCGTACAGGACAGGTACAGGCTGTGGGTCGTACAGGACAGGTACAGGCTGTGGGTCGTACAGGACAGGTACAGGCTGTGGGTCGTACAGGACAGGTACAGGCTGTGGGTCGTACAGGACAGGTACAGGCTGTGGGTCGTACAGGACAGGTACAGGCTGTGGGTCGTACAGGACAGGTACAGGCTGTGGGTCGTACAGGACAGGTACAGGCTGTGGGTCGTACAGGACAGGTACAGGCTGTGGGTCGTACAGGACAGGTACAGGCTGTGGGTCGTACAGGACAGGTACAGGCTGTGGGTCGTACAGGACAGGTACAGGCTGTGGGTCGTACAGGACAGGTACAGGCTGTGGGTCGTACAGGACAGGTACAGGCTGTGGGTCGTACAGGACAGGTACAGGCTGTGGGTCGTACAGGACAGGTACAGGCTGTGGGTCGTACAGGACAGGTACAGGCTGTGGGTCGTACAGGACAGGCTGTGGGTCGTACAGGACAGGTACAGGCTGTGGGTCGTACAGGACAGGTACAGGCTGTGGGTCGTACAGGACAGGTACAGGCTGTGGGTCGTACAGGACAGGTACAGGCTGTGGGTCGTACAGGACAGGTACAGGCTGTGGGTCGTACAGGACAGGTACAGGCTGTGGGTCGTACAGGACAGGTACAGGCTGTGGGTCGTACAGGACAGGTACAGGCTGTGGGTCGTACAGGACAGGTACAGGTTGTGGGTCGTACAGGACAGGTACAGGCTGTGGGTCGTACAGGACAGGTACAGGCTGTGGGTCGTACAGGACAGGTACAGGCTGTGGGTCGTACAGGACAGGTACAGGCTGTGGGTCGTACAGGCTGTGGGTCGTACAGGACAGGTACAGGCCAGGTACAGGCTGTGGGTCGTACAGGACAGGTACAGGCTGTGGGGTGTACAGGACAGGTACAGGCTGTGGGGCGTACAGGACAGTAATTGGCCTGAAACAAATACCCACCCCCAAGGAGCGTGAGATGATGAGTTGAACAGTCTATCAAATCAACAAGGGTCATGATGAGGATTCGAACCTATGTGTTGGATGTTCCCCAGAGGCCCTCTAGTCCACTGCACCACGACAGGGTATAAGAATTGCCAGATATATCACGTAATTCTGAGTTCTGTGTGTACAGTCTATCAAAGTTTGGGATCTGTTGTATAGACGTCCAAGCCTCGCTTATCCTCTTGCAGGAACCACGAGGCCCGTCAAGTCCCACCGTAGGACGTAGGACTTGATGGGACGACTCTACAGCCAGCTATTCGGCTCTAAAAGGCCGGATATGGCCGGACCATGAGGCACAGACCCATCAACACGCTGCCGTTTAAACATAAGTTCTATTGATCCGGTTTCATTGCCTTACTCTGCTCGCGTGTCAATCAATGCTAACAGTGCAGGCGAGGAGTCACAATAACGTGGCTGAAATATGTTGACCAGACCACACACTAGAAAGTGAAGAGACGACGACGTTTCGGTCCGTCCTGGACCATTCTCAAGTCGATTGTCACAGTCGATTCTCACAATCGGCTTGAGAATGGTCCAGGACGGACCGAAACGTCGTCGTCCCTTCACCTTCTAGTGTGTGTGGTCTGGTCAGTCTCACAGAGGAAGGTACGGGCCAAGCTGAGAGAGACGTATTTAGATGTAGAGTAACTCGGCCGGTTCACACACACACACAGCGGCCACGTGGGCCGAATATAACGAGATACCGATTCTCTCTTTATTATGCACCCCATACCTATCCCGTGGGCGGTGGTGGAAAGGGTTACAGAGGCACATAATGGGTTCAGGAACTGAACCCCAGAGTTCGTATAGCTAAGCAAGTGACAATCTTTTGAAGCTAGTTACACAATTAGTAATGTTATGTATACATGATCATATTCATACATACATACATATTATATTATATATATATATATATATATATATATATATATATATATATATATATATATATATATATATATATATATATATATATATATATATATATATATATATATATATATATATATACGCAATCATTTACACAAATACATATACACATCGATAATCGTTTTATATCACAAGTGATTCAACAAGAGGCTCACAACAATCACTATACAAGGCACTTTACATCTATGGTGAGTCACACAGTTACTAGTCTTGCTCCACACCCACCCAACTGGGCGGCAGCTTTACAGTCATGTGCTGCACACCCACCCAACTGGGCGGCAGCTTTACAGTCATGTGCTCCACACCCACCCAACTGGGCGGCAGCTTTACAGTCATGTGCTCCACACAGCCCACTGGGCGGCAGCTTTACAGTCATGTTCCATGTAGCACGGCGGCAGCTATAGTGAGCCCGTAGCTTACTTGGCACATGAGCGGGGCAAGTAGCACCGGCTATGGTGAGCCCGTACCTTACCCAGCGGGGCAAGTAGCACCGGCTATGGTGAGCCCGTACCTTACCCAGCGGGGCAAGTAGCACCGGCTATGGTGAGCCCGTAGTGGACTTACCTGGCACAGGAGCGGTGTTGTGTGCATAATATCTGATTTTAGAGAGAATATCGCCCGTTTTTTGAGACTAGTGAAGGAGCGTGTGAACCAGCAGGAACATACAGAGAATACACATTGCACTTCTAAAGTAGCTTTGCGACAAATTAATATGACTTTAGATTTATTTAAGAAGCTAAAGGAGGAAATTATTGACATATACGTTAACAGCGTATATAGCTACAAAATTATGTATGATATTACAAGTGTTTATTTAATATCATACACTCGATGCTAATATTAGAGTGTATGATGAACAACGATACCCACAAGAACGGGATATCTCTCTGGATATCTCTGTGATCGAGGTTATGCAATGGGCTCGAGCCTACGTGGCTGGACTTCTCAGGACACACGCACTATACCCACTGAACCATGAGTAGTTCCCAGTGCGTCTTACGGCGCCTTCCAGCGAGACATTTACCAGCGCCCATCACGGCCCAGTCGGTATAGTGGGGCGCGTGTCTAGGCACACACCAGGGTCGCGAGTTCGAAACTCCCGTCGTACGCCATCGCGTCGACTTTTTTTATATATATGCTAGCTATCATTAGGCTATCGTTAGGACACGATAGCCTAACGATAGCTTCCGCATGTATCCCACCATTCCGTCTATGGCCTCTGTCCCACCAACCCGTTCCTATTCCTTCCTCCGTCCCTCTCATTCTCCCGTCCATCCATCATCATGCTCCCCTACCCACCCTCTCCTGTCCCTCTCCCTCCCTTCCTCCTCTTCCTCCGCCTATCCCTCCACTCCCCATCTCGCCTCTCTGGTAATCACCATTAATTACTCACTCTCCCACGGCCCTTCCCACATCTCCCCAAAATAGTAGCAATCGATGCTCTTAAATTCCAATCAATGGGAACCGCATCCAATTCCCAGGTGACCGTGGACCCCGGGGGAGCGTGGGGGGGGGGGGGGGAGAGGGCGGGGAGCGGGGGGAGAGGGGAGAAGGGGGAGGGGGAGGTGAGGGGGTGAGGGGAGGCCGACTGCTGATTCCCTCGATGCATCTGTTTCCACTTCCTGTTGTGGGAAATATTGGTTAGCTCTGGGAACTGGCGATGGACCGTGGGAAGTAAAGATGGACCGTGGGAACTGGAGATGGACCGTGGGAACTGGAGATGGACCGTGGGAAGTAAAGATGGACCGTGGGAACTGGCGATGGACCGTGGGAACTGGAGATGGACCGTGGGAACTGGCGATGGACCGTGGGAAGTAAAGATGGACCGTGGGAACTGGAGATGGACCGTGGGAACTGGCGATGGACCGTGGGAACTGGAGATGGACCGTGGGAACTGGAGATGGACCGTGGGAACTGGAGATGGACCGTGGGAACTGGAGATGGACCGTGGGAACTGGCGATGGACCGTGGGAACTGGAGATGGACCGTGGGAACTGGAGATGGACCGTGGGAACTGGCGATGGACCGTGGGAACTGGCGATGGACCGTGGGAACTGGAGATGGACCGTGGGAACTGGAGATGGACCATGGGAACTGGCGATGGACCGTGGGAACTGGAGATGAACCGTGGGAAGTAAAGATGGACCGTGGGAACTGAACCGTACGAGCTAAAAATAAACCTTATGTGATGGTGAACCTTATAAAGATAACTAATAAATAAGAAACTTTATTCGTGAAAATTAATACAAATCAGTCTAGATAAAACAGTCTAAACCGTTTCGATAATGGCTGGACTAAACAGGTGTACAACAGTCTAAATCACTACGATATTTTGGCTGGACTAAACAGGTGTACAGCGGTCTAAATCATTATGATATTACGGCTGGACTTTACGATAATTATGATAAAGCAATAAGAAGTTCAGATTTTCAATTGTTTTCTTATTCAGTTTAAGAACTCTTCCCAACTTTATTCCCATTTGAATCTGAATGTGTTTAAAGAGAGAGAGAGAGAGAGAGAGAGAGAGAGAGAGAGAGAGAGAGAGAGAGAGAGAGAGAGAGAGAGAGAGAGAGAGAGAGAGAGAGAGAGAGAGAGAGAGAGAAAGATGTAGATGTACGATAATTCCAGTTACATCACTCTAACTTATTGATTTTCCAAGCTTTCCTTCACAATATTCCCATACCTCCGGGCGCGGTTAATCAATACATTTGACTGTCCCACGGCCATCAAGCTGTTTGTCCAATTTTATCCAACATTTATTGCCATATTTCCCCACCCAGTAAGAGAAGCTGACTGCCCTTCTTACCCGGAAGCCTCGTAGCGTTCGGGACGATAATCCAGTCTGTAAATCCGTTTTTCATGCCTTTACCTTTTGGTTATTTATTACTTTTTTCGTGATTTAAATGTCTTCGAGTTCTTGTTGGTTCGTTCCTAAAATACGGTCGATTATACAATAAACTTTCCGTAGGGCGTATTCGGTTAAACGGCAAGGTTCATTAATTCGGTTGTTTCCATAACTTTTTTTTTTAGTTCTTTTTTGTACTAAATTGTTTATTGAATAAAATGGCATTTAACCAAGGTTGCAATAACTTGAGGGATAATATGATTATTTTGTACCCACAATTATCATGGAAATGTTATTATTAGGTATCCTTTGAGGTTTAATTTATCCGGCACCTTGGATTATCCGAAACTAATGATTATTCGAAATACTATTATCCGGAAATCTCTGCTATTTGCCACCTCTGACGATAATTAAGGCCATTTTAATTATCTGATAGTGTTGTCTAGACACATTTATTTATCAGGCACCCTCGATTATTCGCACACTCGATTATCCGGAAACTTTCGAATATCCGTAGTCGTTTGTTACTGAAAGTGTGTTTCTAAGATATATAAAAATGTTCATACGAATAGTTGAGGTTAGCATGATAAGAGGATACCTAACCTTCACAGACTCCGGGGCTATCTAGCCTCCATATAGACTAAAAGGGTACCTAGCCTCCATATAGACTACAGGGCTACCTAGCCTCCATATAGACTACAGGGCTACCTAGCCTCCATATAGACTACAGGGCTACCTAGCCTCCATATAGACTACAGGGCTACCTAGCCTCCATATAGACTACAGGGCTACCTAGCCTCCATATAGACTACAGGGCTACCTAGCCTCCATAAAGATTATGGGGATACCTAGCCTTCTCGTACCAACGTAGTTACTTATCCTTCATATAGACAACGGAACTACATATTCTTTTTAAAGACGTGGGCATATATATATATATTTAGCGTGAATATCGACAGAATGGCTGCCTAGTCCTTCAGGATTCTCTAGTTTTCATGTAGACTTCAGGGCTACTTAATCTTTACATAGAAAACGCAAGTAAACAACCTTCATGGCTAAACAACAACCTACAGACTATCTACCCCTACATATATAGGCTTCAGGGCTACCTGGTGATTTTGTTGACTAAGGGTGTAACATTATCATAGGCTGATGAGTTCTGCAACCTTCAGATAGGCTGTAAGACGTCACTTTACATAGTGTACAGGATTGCCTGATATATTTCAAAGCCTACGTTAAAGCTAAGTCTATTAAGTCTTAACGTGGATTATATTGCTTCCTAATCTTAATATATAATAGAGGGGGATATCTGGCCTTAGCATAGACTACTAGTGTGGTAGATTTAACACGGACTGGAGGTCTATTTAACCCTAACAGGAGCTACGATTCTACCTAACTTTTGCATACTGTTGTGGGCTCTCGCTGGAACTTAGGCTACAAGGCTACCAGACCTGAACATGCCTGAAGGACTACGGGACTACTTATTATTTAAACCGCCTATTAATTGTGGACAACTCAAATAAGATATAAATTATCATATAGGAAAAAAATATGTACCGTAAATATAGATTTCATAAGAGGCAAATATGCAAAAAATATCAGAGGCTACTATATAGGCCTATACGACGACTGATCAATTTAAACGGCATGTACTCAGATGCCATAACTAGATAGTACATAGGTTATGAAATTTTACTCAGTTTCAAGCCAAATGACGTGTGACCTATATTTTTCGACGCATGCCTAACTGACGCGGTTCTTAAGACATGGTAAGACTTAAGACATGTCTTAAGAACCGGGAATTACGCCCATTGAGATATTTTGTGTATGTTATATACGATATTTTATAGGTGTTTTCGAATCGCTTTAAAGGATATGTTTATGGATCCAAGAACCTTATGAGTATTTAGAGGTTAGGTAAAAGCTTAAGTGACAGACTTGGATTGAGAGGTTTGGTGAGAATAATTAAATCAGGCGAAGGTTGGGATAGGTAAAGTTAAGAAGTTGTTTATAACCCGTCGAAGATCTGGGAAAGACTCGAATCTCAATTCTTTTTTTTTTTTTTTTTTTTAAAGAATCTGAGATCCAAACATTTTAAAATTGTCACAACAAATGTGAATATACATTAGGAGAAATATATTAGGCTTTGGGTCTGTGAAGGCAATGCACTTGTTTACATTTAGTTTAAATATATAATCGACATGAGCACATCAGGCAACTGTCCAGGTGGGTACAACAACATCGCAGGTGGCAGCGGCAACAACAACAGCCGTAACTGGCCAGCAGTTATATCAATTTTCGGTGTTTGTCGGCCAGTAGGGAAGTCGTGTGGGAACCTGGCGACGCTCCGACTATTAGCAGTCAGTAGCAAGCAAACAGTCGCTCTCAGCTATCTGGCTGCAACTCTCCATATGCGCGTGTGGCCGTGAGAACGCGTGTCGGCCGGGCTCCCAGGCCGGCCTGACACACGCCCGCCACACGCGCCACCCAGCGTCCGAAACCCCATAACACGACCTGCTTCTCACTTATTCCCCATGGTGTCTTGTTCCCCTTTCATTTATTACTTGCCTTGTCCGGTGTTTTAATTGGTATTACAGTAATGCTTCATCTCGGGAACATTAATAACTCCTGCATTATAAGTTGGCTTGGAGTCAAACCTGCTACATCGTGCTACTCTAATGTTTGTCATTTGGTTATATTACTCCTAAATTTATCATTAGATATCTGTGGCAGATTAAGGTGCGTTTCAAAATCCTCCATACCTTCTAGAATTGATAATGTTTGTTATTTTATCTCTTTATAAAGAACGATACTTAAAGTAAAAATTTAAAGATTGAGCGGCTTCGTTTACGCAGAGCTGGCGGACGTAGGAAGCTTTGGAGGACGAGCCACACGCGTGAGACGACCGCCTAACCCACGTTCCCACACGCGCCACCTGCACGCGCCTGTCTCCCGACACGCGCCGCTGTCTTCGTCTCACTTTTATAAACAACTTTAATATACATTTTTTCAAAATATTTTAGCATAAAAATAATAAAGTACAACAACATTCTTCAGAAAAGAAACAGCGAAACTTGAAAATCACATAAATAAAACAAAGTGATTTAAATATGCACCTGTATATTTCCGAGAGATGAGAGGATTCGGACACCGTGTTTACTGCCGGTCGGGTATATATCCCGGGCGATGCCACACACTAGCCAGTCACTACCATTGACCACGGAAGGCAGGCGCTACCATGGCACTCTACACACGTTGCTGCTGTCACTTCGCCAGGAAACTACTAAAGGTAGGTACTTAGATCTACATGTAGTAGCTATATTCGTGAGTTATACAACTCATTCCAGTTGTGGAATGGTGAACAGGTGTTCATTCCAGGGTGAACAGGTGTTTTACAATCATAGAAAAACAAACTTATAGTTTACAATTATAAAAGTGAGGCATATATTGGCAGCGCATGTAACGTAAATATTTCAATGTTATTTAAAGTGCTTGTCAACAAGCCAATTTCTTTGTGACATTAATTACAAGTATTCAGCTGCGAGAGGGATAGAGAGAGAGCGGGGGTCCAGCTCTCTGCTGACTAGGATTATTCTATCCGGCAGACCTTGTACACTTATGTATATCACTCAGTCGTAGGCTGTATTCCACGCAATCAACTTCATATGCCTAGCAAAGTTTGAGTGACAAGCGAATGCCGAATAAAAAACAAAAAACAAAAAAACATGGGCTTATGGTGGGTGTCGGATGGGTGATTCCCTTCAGACAAAAGATTATAATGTTTTTTGTGAATGATTTCACAAGTGTAGGTGTTGGCATCAGGCCGGGTAAGAGTGTGCAGTGAGTGCGTAAACACGCGCGTGCGTACACACACACACACACACACACACACACAAAAAAAACTTTTTCAGTGTCAGAGTAGTTACTAAATGGAATGCACTAGGAAGTGATGTGGTGAAGGTTGACTCCATACAGTTTCAGATGTAGATATGATAGAGCTCTAGAAACTCAGGAATCTGTACACCAGTAGATTGACGGTTGAGAGGCGGAACCAAAGAGACAAAGCTCAACCCTCGCAAGCACAACTAGGTGACAACACACGCTCACTCACTCTCACTGTTTTTCTATTGACAGCCTCATAAGTATACCAAAATTGCTTGCAATGTTGATTGACTAGGCGACTGGATGCATCACTGAATTAACAATCCTTATCTCCTCCAGGTCTTGCGTGGTCTGTCCCTACCTAGGGCTGATGCGCCGCCTAACACAGCCGTCCACTGCTGGAGTTACGAGGAGGCCCAGAATACCTATAATGAGAGCGTGGAGGCCCAGAATGCCTATAATGAGAGCGTGGAGGAACTGTTGGCATTGGCTGACGGAGTCGCCCCATCCTGAGTGACTACAAGAAACCATAGGCCGCTCTGAATCGTTACGAGACCCTGTGGGGCCCGTCCTGAGTTACTACGAGACCACGCGGGCCCTTCCTGAGTGACTTGAGATACAGTGGGTCGTTCCGAGTTACTGCGAGACTCTGTGGGCCCATTCTGAGTTACTACGAGTGCCCGTGGGCCCATCCTGAGTTATTACGAGACCCCGTGAGCCCAGTCTGAGTTACTACGAGTGCCCTTTCTGGGTGATTTCGTGGAACCGTGGACCGGTTCTCGAGTCACTACGAGAAATGTAGATCTGCTTTGGGTATCTTCTAAGATATCATGGTCCAGTTATGAGGAATTACAAGTCATTGTAGGCTCGCCTTGAGCCACTACAAGTCCCCTTTGATCAGCCTAGAGTCTTGTCAAGAGTCTCTCACATCACTGTCTGTTGTACTCTACTGAAGAGGTTAATAAGCATCAAATATATCGAATGTGTCTTAAAATTTTTA